ATGTGGTTACGCACGAAACAGTCGTGCATATGATACGATCTCTGCTATTAACAATTGCAATCCTTCTTCTCTTGTCCTGCACTAGCCGCCGCACGTGCAAATTCTGTTTTGGTTGTACACCCGTGTCCGCTGCGTTCAGATCGATGACTGAAAAAATACATTCGTGTTCACGTGCAGGGCGACGCTATCACATGCGCAAATAAGTGGTTCGCATGTATGTCTCAAATAAATAAGCCAAATCAAGTCCTCAACCTCTGCGATTAGTTCATCATAACAGAATGGTCAGCCTCAGGCAATGGAGGAAAGGATCCAGGATTCTGTTCCCCCGTGAAGGCTTACCATTAGCGGGCGAGGAATGATTGTATTCGCATCATACATAGGAGTCCTATAGTATGCCCACGAATCTTGCGATAGCACAGAAAAGTACCCTCCCTTTCAAAAGCCAGAAATTGTGCGGTGCAGATTATACACCACAAGTGACGACGGCCTCAAAGTAAATCTGGTTAGTAGTGGTTCATGGTGATAGCTGATTTTTAGTAAATGAGAGTTGTAATTACTGTCAACTGATCGAATACAACTGTAACAGGTTAATCTTTTCATTGGCAAAAAAAAACATTTGCATTTTCTGGAGGCCGTCGTCACTTGTGGTGTATGGTCTGCACCCGATACTTTCTGGCTTTTTGAAGGGGAGGTTAGTCTGGGAACATAAGTCACGCTGTGAACACCGCTTGACCATCACAAACAATTACCTAGGTCTTCAGACAGTTTCTGAAACTCTGCAAAGCCCAAATGAGTAGTTTTTGCGGCTCAAGTACGAGCGGCCCACTGGTAATTATGACCTATGAATGCCGATCAAAATGGAAGTCGTTGGTCATTTAAACGCTTCGTGACACCTACGAAGTTACTGCAATGTTGCCATCGTACTTTTTTCAGAAGTTTCATTCAACACATGCAGTGAGTTTAATGGTCTCACCACAGGCTTTATGGTAAGACTAGGAAAGATGAGATGGAAAATGAAAAACAATAGCAAATCCGTTGGGAACTGGGTTCCAAAATGTCAACTATGTGGCAGCCTTTCTTGCCTGTCTCTCTAGGGTCTTTATGCACTTACATTGTATGTGTTTCCCCTTCAAGCACGGTGCTCGGAGAGCGTTTTACACTTCAACACTGTAGCACCTTTTGCAGAGCTGATTCTTCAAACGGCAAGAAATTCACATAGAAGTGAGAATCCTTTCATAAAATCAGAAACCAACGTGAAAAAGTTCCAGGAACGAAGGCAAGGAATCAGGGGTCAAAATATGAGTGAATTCGGTAAATGGTTGATGCCTTCAAAAGAAACAAAGAATTTGAGAGTGTACCAGTTACCACAGGTCTTACCCCACTTTGTGACCGCACGCTTAGCCAACACTTGCCTTTAAATAGTGGTTAAAAATGAACTTTCGAAAATGACTGCAGAACGCTTCCGCAAAAAAAAAGTAATTAAGCGAGCTGTTTGCGTGATACTGTATGACAGACAATTAACGACTCATTACCTGCCGTCCTTGACATTTTGATAGATCTTCCTTGCTGTTTCCAAGAATGCGTCCTCAACATTGTCACCCCT